AAAATTACCGCCCAATCTCAATGCTACCAATTGTTAGTAAAATACTAGAGAGATTTGTTTTTAATCAAATTTACAAATTTCTTATTCAGATGTGATACATTTTATGAAAACATGGATAATGGCCAGTTGAACGGTGCTGTTTTCCATTACATTCGCAAAGCCTTTGATTCAATCATATTCTATTGCATATAAGGCCAAGTAAAAAAAATAGTTTCTCGTCCCCGCCCGCATCCTTTTTCCCTGCCGCATGGATTTTTCTTTTTTTTAATGTTTTATATTTGAACGTTTCAAAGAATTTCCACTTAGTATATTTCGGCCATTTTGCTCCTTTCGGCATAATTCGGAAATTTTCGTTAACTTTCGCTTGCTGTTCGCGCCATATTGTTATTTTGGCGCCATATTGTTATTTTGGCGCCATATTGCATTAGTAGCGGTTTGTTTATTTTAATATATTTACGTTTTATGAGTAAACTTCAATATTTGCATGTGTTTATAGGTTATTTGGTAAACTTTAAGAGCAATATTTGAAGGTTTAACAAAAAAATAGCGCCGGCATTCTCCTTTTTTTTCAAAATTCGGACGAGAAACTACTATTTTTTTTACTTGGCCTATAAGTTGAAGACCAGTTTGTAATTAAAAATATTGAACTGGGTTGGTTTGAGTCTTATCTAACAAATAGGGAACGAGTGTTGTTAACGACACACGTCATCGTCAAAAAGGATTGTTTGCGGTGTTCCACAAGGATCAATTTTAGGCCCATTGTTGTTTTCCCTCTATATCAATCTCGTTCCCAGGGTCTTGAAGACCCTAGGTACGAGGTTGCCCGAATACGTTCATAAAACTACGCCTTATCTATAAGCAGACGATGCCCAAATTTCTTGTACCGCTAATAACTTGACTGAATTAACTGAAAATCGAAATCATGATTTGAACAGAATTGGTGAATGGCTTTTTAGAAATAAATTGCAACACCATCCAACTAAGACCAAACCAATGTACATAGGGTCAAAACATCACATGAATTCCATGACCTGTGATCTTCCAGTAATGTTAAATAACCAACATATACCTCGAGCTCACTCATTCATGTCTTGGTGTTGAGCTCGACGAAAATCGTAACTGGAATGAACATATTCAAACGATTTGTAAAAACGTTGGGGATGGTATAGACTATAGGAACTATGAAACGTATTAAACCATATGTTCCTACAAGCATGCACCCTTCAAACAATTTATCGAGCACTGATACAGCCCTATTTTGATTACTATATATTCTCCCTTATGGGGCGTCTGTGTTAAACATCTGAAAGATAAACTCCAAAAGTCGTGTAGCCCGAATTATAGCTGGCGCCAGCTACGAGACCCAATCTGCTGATGTTCTTCGATCTCTTGCTTGGGATAATTTAGAGACAAGGCGATGTACAACTAAATCAATACTATTTTTTCTGTGTTGGTGTTGTGTACTCAGGTGAATATGTTTGTGATGTTACTCTGAGTGTATATCCACACCGGGCGAGCTCGAAAAATATGCCCGGCCACGGTGGGAATCGAACATACGACCTTTGGAATACTATTGCACAAAGTCTTCACTGATTTTAATTAGCCCTTGGAAGCCTAGAAGTGAATTCCTCAAAAAGAGCTTCAAGTATAGTGGGGCTAAACTCGACAATGCCACGTGTCGACAATGCCACGACAAGAGGCGTCTATCTACCCGTGAAACATCTAGTGAGTATTGGTGACAGTTCATCTGATGACGGGACGAATACCCTTCAGTTTCACAAGTGCCATCAACAGACAACACTACCGACTCGACGGGGCGTTTGCTGGCTGAATGGTATAATCACCGCTTCACAATAATAGCAAGCCGGATGCAGGGCCGTAGCGAGGGGGGGTATTGGGGGGGTGGTTACCCCCCCCCCCAACTTTGACATATTCGGAAAATGGGATGGCCATTCGGAAAATTACGGCAATAATAGTATATGGTTTTTATACGAAAATCATGAGATTCAGGCAATTTTTGGCTAATATATGAGTTTTGATATGTCCGGAAAAATTTTTTGACCCTTAAAATGGTACACTGACCGAAATTTTTTTGGCGACGGGGGGGGGGAGGTCGCCAAGAATTTTCTAATATTCGGAAATTTTCTTCGTCATTCGGAAATGTTTGGCCTACACCCCCCCAACTATAAATGCTAGCTACGGCACTGGCCGGATGTGCTGGTGCGTAATGCATAAGGCTATGTTGTCCGTCTCCATTGGCCTGTGTATTACCACCCAGATTATCCGGCTGTAGCTCTGCTTTCGATGCGTTGTTGTCGACCTGCATTTTATTGTTCTGCATCTGGTAAATCGTTCAATTCCCATACCCTCAACCAGAGAGTCGCAACCTTACCAAATGACTTACCAAATGCCACAACCTTACCAAATTCCGATACCTTGGGATTACAACTATCATGCATGTGTTCCCAACTTGTATAGATCCCGCGTGTATGGCAAATTGGTCACATATTTAGGGATTGTTATGTATTTTACACTTTCCATACTTTCCATACTTACTTATTTCCATACACATGTCCATACTTAATAAATTAAGTTTCAAAATTTAACACAACTATTTTTACAACTTAGGCTATACTGACCTCATGTTTCGCGCACGAATATATTTCTCTTTGATCTTAACCCAAATCACAACCATATCCCTTACCTATTGTGCGCGAAACATGTTATAACACGAAATCCTACCAGAGACTATCGGGATGTTTACACGAGTTCTACATAAAGGGCCAGCCCAACCAGGACTGGTTTTCACCTGGTGCTTACATGAGAAAATTCAACAAATTTATTTTCTTACGAAGTCCATAATCATTTTAGCGAGCAAATTTTCGAATAATAACCAACAATTGAATATTGTTCTAGAGCTATAAATCTGAATCGAAATAGACTTAGAAAAGCCAAGTTTGGCACGTATATGGCCAGCTTTTTACTCAGCCCCCACTGGTATAGGACAAGCCCTCTCTGACTCTGTTGCGTTTATATGGTAAATTTCCTCAGGCAAGATCTCAAGCTGGCCCTCCCCTTAGTATATGCGGAATATCGCGTATAAGTGCCAGCGCTTTGTGTAGGATTCATATAAACACCCTCTAGGAATAATAACTTTATCGTATCATTAATTCAGCATGGAGAAAAGCCAGGTACACACTTGATTGAATTATTAAAGCGATCTGTATGTGATTTACAAACATGAGCCGAAGGCGAGTGGTTGTTAATCGCATGTAGATCGGACGTGAATGCCCTAGCTATCGTACTTATCAAATACATACATATAAGGTTCATGTTTATTGTTGCCATTGTTAATGTTCTTGATACAAATAATGCAATATTGCACTTGTATATAATTTAAACTCAACACTTTAGGAGCCCAAAATCCGTGTTACTTGGCATGTAGAACTTGTTATATCCTAAATTATAGAGTATTTTTTGAAAAGTCACCCTATATCGTTGTAAATAGGTTGATGACGAAAGCACGAAATTCACTCAGATAGACTATTAGGCTCCAGACTATACAGCTGTTCGTTCTGCATGCATAACGCATCTTTAAAAATTTATTTTTGGACCAATAAAAATGGCCGATTATTTTCTAGGACCAACAAAAGCTACAGAAATTTATTTTCTGTAAACTATGCACTTTGCGATCAACAAACACCAATTTATACTTTAGGATCGTGGAGCTGGCAGATTACTAGTCTTCTTGATTTCGGAATCCTCTTCCTTTTTACTGGTTATTATTTCAGGTACCGTTGTACCTTTAGTCAACTTAATCTCGCACACACCAGTCTGAATATCATATGTTAGGTCAACAAGAAAATCGTCTTCGTCCTCGAACTTCTGCACCATTTCCTCCGTTACATCAATAAAACACCTGAAAAACATCAATGTAGTTTAGATATAGATCAGAAAACCTAGAATTTCGCGCAGGAGAAAAGACCACTCAACCACAAAACCTAGAATTTCGCGCAGGGGAAAGACCATGCACTCAACCACAAAACCTAGAATTTCGCGCAGGAGAAAAGACCACTCAACAACCACATTACATAAAACAAATAAAAATCCCAAAGAAATCGACATAAAATTCAAAATACAAGTCAAATCAGAGCAGTCCAGAAAATTGGCTATTGAAAATTATAATATAAGGTTTCTAGTGTTCACCATAGCAAACATTAGAGAATCACACTTATATTGTTGAGGTGGACAACCTTAAAACATTGGCAATAGGCTTCCCTCATATGAATAGTCTGCCAATTTGACATCTTATGTTCAATGAAATGACCTCTATTACAATTTCATAGAAACTGGTACTCAAAACCATGCACAGTTATAAGGGCCAAATTATAATGAACATAAAAGAATGGCCTGATTTATACTAGAGGCGGACGATCTGTCTGGATGAACTTGAGCAAATAAAGTTCGTTTCAGTACAAACGCGGCAAACAGACAGATCATCCGTCAGACGGATAATGCGTCTCTAGTATAAATCAGGCCAATATCGAATAACGGTAGTTTTATATGAAGAAAGTCTATTACTCCATTTAGCGCAAAAATTGCAATTGCACAAATTAACAGTGCAATAATAAACAATTATTCGCCGAAGGCGAGGTGATCATCGTGAATAAAAACCGAGACGAAGTCGAGGTTTTTATTCACGATAATCACCGAGCCTGAGGTGAATAATTGTTTTAGTATAATTTCATAGGCGATTATTTGGAAGAAAAAAATACACATTTCTTCGTCATTTAATTGACTTCGGCGGCCATTTGGAAAATCGCTTAGGTGATTATCGCGTTATAATCACCTCAACGGCAACCAATCAGCGTCCATGGAGAATTTTCAATAATCACCTATGTAATTATACTAATTATTCAAATCCCAATGTACTGACTACAGTCTTGTTCTAACTTGTATGTCGAGTTTCAAGTTATTTTCTTTGCAATTTCTTTGTTTTAATGTCCGAGTAAATTAGATGTATAAACAAAGTCAGAAGAATAAATCACATCAAAAACGTAATTTTGTCCATTGGAGATTCTTGGACTCATGGACATGACAAGTTGAAGTAACACGCTCTTCAATATTAAGCATATTACATAAAGGGCGGTACGAAGTTGTAAGGCAACAGTGTAAGTGAACAAATACAACACCGTCAAGCGCTGCGATGGGGGAGCTGTACAAACCCAGGATTTCCATAGCTTATACCAAAACAACAATTAAGGAATCCTGCATGTCACATAATTAAAGATTAACTTTTGTACGGCGGGAAAAGCTGCATGTCTGCAATTACAGACCAAAATGAAACCATCAGCTATTGAACATTAACTTCATGCAGGACGAAATACCGTAGGTTATGCACTAGATGAAATTAGCAACCGAAAAGAAAATGTTTGCATCCAATTGATTCAAATAACACTTTTTTCTCTTAGAAGAAGTGCAAAGCCATTGGTCATATGCAGATCTGCCTACCTAAATTGTTGTAATGGCGCAAAGCCAGGAGGAAATTCCGGGATTCGTAAATGCACAAACTCTGACCAACGTCACAACGACAATTGCACAAACACACAGTAGTGAGACACACAACTACACGTATAAAGTTAAATATTATCGTGTAAGGTGATCAAAACCTTTCATCCTGATCGCGTTGGTCGTACATAAACCTGATTGTGTCCTTGAGTTAGTTATCCTGAAAAACAGTTGGCATGCAAGGCAAATCATATCAATTTAGTACACATGACGGAAACAAATTACTGTACAAATACGACTTTCTCTGCGGCAAGGTTTTTTTCATAAAACGAAATAGGTGCGGATGCCTCATGTACCGCTACTCACAAAATTTGATGCCGCTTATAATCGGGGTATCAAACTAGTTTTTCATGATCGGGGTATGTTTAGTAAGTATCAATTTGGTTGTTTTTTTCACGTTACATACAGGACATATAGTCCTGTATTGGGTGTACATATAGTATATACAAACCTATCCTGACCTTGCATGACAAGAAATGAAAACTTTTTTACATAAGTTGTTTTCATGTATTTTTATGTAATTATGAATTAATATACTTGTTGAGGTCAGAAACGTTTTTTATATAATCGTAAATTTAACTTGTTTTCATGTATTTTTATTTAATCATGAATTTATATATATGTTGAGGTCAGGTTATCACTCATTTCTGTTTCATAGGTAGACAGGATACCGGCAACTCTACCTTCTGAGATGACCCCACTTGATACTTCACCTCAACACTAGAGGGGAATAGCCATGTCACAAATGCCACATGGTTCTATTTCGGGATAGTACTAAAACCCGATACTACAGTCTAAAATTAAAAACAAATCAGTCACAATGAGTCATTTACACAAACTATGCCGCGCAGTAGTGTCTCTGTCTTCACGGGCATTCCACGTTCGGGTTCATCAGTGCACAACTTGATTTTACATTGGGAAGTGAAGGAGTTTATCACCTACTCTACATGTTCATACTAATTTACGTCTAAGGCAGACCACATTGTGAACTATTATAAGGGATCTCGCGAAAATGTTATCTACAAGGTCAATTACTTTTATGTATGCACCAATTTTGGCCTGTCTAATAAGCACTATGATCACTAGTGATGTCGACGAAGCCAAAAAAGAAAGACGTTTGTACAAGTAAGGGTTAAAATGTTTGTACATAATTTTAGGTGTCGTGAGGTGCAGTGTAATTATAAGGTGAGTGTGGCAATATTGACAATTTTCTACAATTCCGTTCACGTTCGTATAGTACAACTGTACTTTCATACGTATATTCTCGTAAAATACGGCGTGTAGGTTACACGTAATGTAATTATATACGAATGAAATTAGGTTGATAATTCATACACGACAAAATACGCGCCAAACGTATAATAGTACCATTCGCGGCTGGCAGGATGACCAAGTGCCAATAAAATAATATGCAACGTTTTTACCAGTGCCTCATGCAGTGGTACATAATTATTGAACAGACTAATTATTGAACAGAATAATGTCATTCAATTTCTATATTAAAAATGCCATTCCTACATAAATCTCGTCCAGATACTTTTACTAAGTTTTATCTTCATATGATATTTTCATACAGACTATAAATAAGTTATGCTACAATTTTTCAACACAACAAGAAAATAGCAAATCCGGACATTTCCGGAACATTCTGCTTCACACGTATTGCATACGTCATGCCAACAAACTTCATGATTCACCGCCAATTCTACACCTGGCTTTAGTGCCTTACACAGTTATCTTGTATATTTATTTATAATTACAAAACTTACGGTCATTATTACGACATGCAATATATATTGATTGCCGGGTTGACTTCCAAAAGCTGATATGCAGTTGTATATTCAGCACAAAACATCAGCAACAACAAATAACTGTCTAAAATTATTCTCATATACGGGGCAAAACCCTGGCTACTGTATGTTTTAAAACAAGGAAATCTGCATCAAAATCTATATACATGTAATACGAAGCATATGACCCCACTACAAGACAAGGTGTAGAAACGTTGCATACCATTTTGAAACTTTTTCAATATTTTTTCTAATTACATATTATGACAATTTAAATATAGTAAAAACATGAACACCACATTTAGTACGTACGCAAAAATTCGAAAATTGAACCTCCCCCTCCTCCTCCTTCTTTTTATATGTGGTATAGCAATGACGTAATTTCAACAATAGGCGTAGGATAAGCAAAAACTGCAAACTTTCTGACTCCCCCTCCCCCCTTATCTGCATACATACTAAATGGATCACCCTCAATGGTTTATTCCCAAAGTCGTCATTGGACTTATAATTAACAAATATAAAACATTTTCCGTGTTGATATACAGTTATATCAACACGAGTGGAAATTGGGAAAACGAGAAATTGTGTGGAAACACGACGCCCGAAGGGCGGAGTGTTTTCACACAATTTCGAGTTTTCCCAACTTCCACGAGTGTTGATATAACTATATATCAATACGGAAAAATGTTTTATATTTGTTTTATAATATAGCAATGTCAAAAGCCCGAAGAATAAGAACAATTTCCGTGTTACAAGCGGCGGAAAATTTCCCGTGTTGACATGGAGTTATATCAACACGGCTCTTAGCCAATCAGCGTTCAGAATTTACAAATGCTATATTATAATATATTATATTATTTGAAGTCTGTATTAGCAGCCAGGCTTCAATGGATTTATAATATATTGTATTATTTGAAAATGTTGTGCCGAGTGGTTATATTACTACCTTAAAAAATAAGCAGAAACTCGACGTTTCGAGCGAAGGCCCTTCGTCAAGAGTTAGTGACTAACTTGACGAAGGGCCTTCGCTCAATACGTCGAGTTTCTGCTTACTTGTTAAGGTAGTAATATAACCACTCAGCACAGCATTTTCACATTGGCACTACCCACACTGGTACAGACAGTTTTAGTATACATATATTATTTGAAGCCTGTATTAGCAGCCAAGCTTCAATGGATTTATAATATATTATATTACATTATTTGAAGCCTGTATGCTACTAGCAGCCAGGCTGAACAAATTGACTCCAGCACGACTATTAAAAAGTCACTTTCTAAAAAAGTTCAGAATGTCCAAAAAAGTACAAAATTTATCAGACATTTTCAAAAGGCGTGAGAATATTTTGTTATAACCATCATGCAAGTTTTCATGCCCGAGACAAGAAAATTTAATTCAAACAAAATGTGGTAAAACAGAACGTTTACATGTATAAGATGCATAATAAAAATTGTGACCAATTGAGTCAAAGATACAGAAAGCATTTAACAATGTTTATGCAAATTAGCCTCAATGTTGAACCAAAACGTTTTGAATATTGAAATAAAAAGAAAGATCAAATTACAGTATGTTTATTAACACAGCAAAGACACTTCCCAAATTTTGCAACCTGGCAATGACAACTACATATTTAAAATATTATATTGTCTGCCTTGATTTCAAGCTTTTGTCTTGGGTGCCTTCAAAGAAATTCAGGAAATATCTATTAACACCTATTCTTGTGTTCAAAAATGTTTGGTTGTATAAATTTTATATCAAATGATAAACAGGATGACTGAACAGACAAATACATTTTTAAATATTTTTCAACCACACACAGCTATTGTATTCCTGAAATCATTTGCAAATTGCAACAGAACTCCTCGTGCAAAACAGCGCAACCATTCCCATTCCCACATTCTCGATCCTCCACAGAGAGAACAAATTTTCTCTGTGTACCAGCATAGGTGAATCTCTCCTGCATTGGCCCACTCTCATCTTGGTGTACAGTGAGATTTTTAAATGGGCTTATGAAACCAATTAAGAAACACGATTGTCCATGGAACGAGCCAAATGTAAAACATACGGTAAGTCTATTGCAAGCTTGAAAATAAGCGGCTGGACAGACATTGTCTGACGTACAAAAAAGGGCAAATGCCAGACAGTACATGTATGTCTGGTACCATACACTGATACAGCTATAATTATATTAATGAAAAGTGAAAGATACATACTTTGAACACATTTGTTCCTTTGCAAAGCAAGCAATAGCTAGCCATAGTGCACGTTGTAATACATTAAATTTTTTTGAGGAACTGGCCATGAAAATTTCATGTGAAAATGTCAAGTCACAACACAATTTGCTTATGATAGTCTCTTTTTTGAGTTTGCTGCCCCTGGCCACATGTGAATTATTTTTTAATATGGCCTCTTACAGTAAATATAGTATTATAATATTATTACAACATTAGTGATGTCCGGCACATGGGAGGATTTACTGGAGGGGGGGGGGGGGTTAGGGTTAACCCCCCCCCTATAATCTATCTAATCTTCACTTCACCCCTCCAATTTTGTGTGAAAGGCTTTAAACGAAACACCTAACCCCTGCCGAAGCTCACTGAGTGATGCCACTTGCACCCCACCAGAAATTGGTCTACCCCACCTTTTAAATAAATGAAAATCCACCTTTGGTCCGGCACTAAGTGAGAATTGTCAGTAACCAACCAATTGGTGCCTGACAAGGGTCTGGCACCCATGAATTATTTTCCGGCTTGGTAGAATTCATTTGCAAACTTTGCAAACAAAATCACATGAACGGATTGTGATCCTTTATTGTATAGCACAGTGCAATACTCTACTATACATGTCTTCAAATGTGGTAAATTGCAATATTTTTTGAGGTTTTGCTCTTGGACACAAAATTTGATTAATTTCTTATACTTTGAGTAATCAATATTACAGTGATATGCTGCTGATCATGGCTTCCCACACATCATTAAACATTTAAGTCTGTCTGGAAGGCACAGCACATGCAAATGAATAACGAATAATGTGTACATTTTCAATCAGGTGATTTTTATCAGACTTCTTCGGCATAATTTTAGAAATTACTTAAAAAAAACTTCACTTGAGAATTTTGACATAAATTTGTTTGCATTTTCACTTCCTTTGGCCTGCTGGTGGGAATCAAGTTGATATTTTATATGGGACAAACTTGTGCCACATGGCATATATAAAAAATGCTGAAGAAAACAGGGGAAATACTTCAGAAATACTTCAGAAATACTTCAGAAATGCCTCATTCATTTGTCTCTCTAAGGGCTGGTAGATATTTTCAATACAAAAATCAAACTAAAATGAAAAACATGTTGAAGAAAAAATGCAGAACTATATTGTGTATCAAATTACATGCATCATCTGCATTGCACAATAGTCTGGCATCAGGGACTAACAGTGATCCAAAAGATCTGGTTTTCATCTACAAAATTCTTTATAGTATCTCTGGTATGGTATCTCACCCATAGCCATCCAACTCTAAATCAAAGCCTGATGCTCAAGACTCCCAGACCCCTTTGTAAAACAAGTACATATCCGAACTCATACTTCAACAGGATAGTAAAATTATGGAAAAGTGTTTGTTAAAAATTTTATAAAACATTAACTTTCTCAAGATAATTGCAACATACAGTCTTTAAAAAAATACTGCTAATCAGCGACACAAAGATCACCATATGTCAACAGGAGTTGTCTCAAACAATGAAACCAGTTTTTGAATGTACTTCCTTGTTAAGACAATGATGGCAAAATATCAAGAGATTCAAATCCTGTTTACCAAATTTTGATAAAATACATCCCTGCAGCAACAATGTTAAACTCCAACGATTTTTTCAAGTGAAGATCTAAAATTCTTGCTGACAAACCATGTATGCAGGAAACAGTTGGAGACAGAAAGAAAATTAACATGTTTTTTTTTCATATTGATCATCAACTGTAGTAAAAATATAGACATTCTAAATATTTCTCTTGTATGTACATACACAGTAAACTTTCATATCATAAACAATATTTTCATAATTTAGAAGGAAACACACTAATTTTGCACATATTTTCAAAGTGATAGGCTAAGCCAATATTTTGCTGAGTCGAAGACCCTTCCTGACTTACTCTACCCACTTTTAAAATCCAAAATATAATGACTTCATGCTCAAATATTTCTTCAAAGCCACAAAGAATTGTTGCTTACTGAAAGTTATATTTTTATGGCATATCGTTTTTTGTTTGAATTTGAAAAGAATGACAATATGTGCCATTCAGCATGGCTATTAAATTGTCAATGATGTCACAGACTGTACTTTTACACACTCGAACTGGTTTCAACCAGCCAAAACTAGTTTTGCTGAAAGCTCTGCGTTTTATAATATCTTACTTCGCAGTTTTAAACTACGAAATGTGAAGTATACACTCAGAAATTTAAAACTTAGCTCACCTCTCGCGTTTGTGTTTCTGATAACTGTCCGAAGTCGACATCGTGAAACTAGTCACACAACTTGGGGCAAAGTTATATTTATCACCAAGAGCCTGTTCCAATTCCTCTACTGTCTTTTGATTAAGTCTGATAGCATTATATACCTTCTCTGTCCTTCGCCTTACATAAATGGTGAGCGCAGCTGGTCTGTGCCTACAAGCACGGGCTTTCTTTGCACGCGGAACTAAATCCAAATCATCCAAAGCGTTCACTGCCTTTCGAAATGCATCTAGCAATGTCCCCTTTCGCGACCGACCCTTTGGTGGATTCTCCATAGCTTCTTTCGACCTTCGCCGGGCGCATTTCGGACACGAAACTCCCCTTTTACATGGAGGATACGTTGACATATTATTGAAATTATTTAAAACGTTCTTAGACGGACGAACCGCGTTTAGAACCATATCCAATTCCAACCCCGCAAGCCAAAACAAAACAAACTAAAGTACACTAGTTTAATGCCAGTATATAGTTGCAATAACCACAAAATTTGACAATACTTGTTAAACGAGAATATATCTCTTTGGCTTTTCAAATTTATTCAAGTCTTTCACTTCTTTTATGTACCGAGTTCCTTGTGTACGGTACGTGGTATACAAGTTCGCAGGTTCCACAAGTAATAGTGCTTATCAGCCTCGCATTTCGTCGCAAGATGGCCGTGTAGCTTTAACAAACAGTCGAATTTCGCAGGAAGACAACAAGTTTATGCTATATTCGATATCAAAATTACAATTACGAGAAGACAGCTGGCAGAAAGTGAAGCAATTCTTTCACAAGACAGCATAAAAAATGTCATTGACAAGTGGATGACGTATTAAAACCGCGTGGAATTATATAGGCAGATATGGGCAATTTATGTTCTTCCCACCCCTACAGAGTAGGGAAAAAAACTAAAAATATTACAGTTTCTGAGTTTCATTACACAAATATTACATTTCAATAAAAAAAAACTTGTTTATGTTTGCACGGGAACCTATACGAAAACAAAAAAATGTAAATCTTTGAGAACTTTATTGTATTTTATAATTCTGCACCTAACCTATCCCCTGCTTAGGGCGACCTGATAGTGTGACACGTGAAACATTCGTGGACATGTAAAATCGTAGAAATACAGGATTAACCAGTAGGAAACAAGTTTGATTTATTCAAAGGATTAGTTTAGAACATATATTGAGTGTGACAGTCATGTAATTATTATAGGTTTTTATTTCAATTAGTTTGTTTAAAAGTTCAATTTACAGGGGTTTTGTCAATCTTGCTCACTATTTGAACCACTAAAAAAGTAAGGGAATAGAAAACAAGATTATTTGTTTCCAAAATGATTGGTTTCCATTGAAACGTCAAGCTAATTTGAATCCATATACATAGTATATTAAACCTATAACAATAATATGTTCAACCATAGATCGGTAAAAAATAGTCTAGTTATAGCGTAGAATTTGAAAACATTCATTCAATTATCATGGCCAATTTGCCATCATTGCCATTCTGATCAGAATTAGTTGACCTTTGTACCCCGTGATTATTTAGAACTCAGCTTGACTGATAAAATCTTTTGGCAAATACCCACACTATGCCCATGCCTTTTTCGGTTCGTCGCCTATTAATTTGTCGCTTTCAAGTTTCCGCTAGGGCCCGTTCATAAGAGCAGGACTGGCCCGTTAAACCGGTCTGGCTCGCTTTGCTGGACCAATTCAAGTTGTTATTTGTTTCACATGAGGCTCGACAAGCTCTATTGAAATTCCCGCGCGATTTTAGATACTTTCTACATGGAATAAAGCATGCGTTGTGCGCCTTATGTCATCCTCCCCCCCAAAAAAAAATATCATGCAGCATATAATCGAGAAAAAAATATCATGCAAAAGAGAGCGCTCAACGTTCTTCACATCAGTATTGTGTCCACAGGCTTGCAAAATGTTTGCATTTTTGAGCAGGCACATTCGCTTAGAAGAACACGGGGTGAACAGTGGACAACATCACAGGGATTCTACCGTGGCGTTCTCTGGCAAAATTGTTGCCCCTCCCCCCCCCCGAGAAAATCTGGGCTCAAGTTATGCACAAGTTTATAAGTTATTTATACATATCTAATATGCATTGTTGAAGAAGTATTTTTGGATGGCGTTTTTGATAGCATAGCTCCAAACTACATAGGCCCATCTACAGGATGCAAGTTGAATGTACTGCATATACGATGATTTTAATACGAAAATGCCAGTTTAGAGAGTATAGATTTTAAAAATTTCTGAAAATGATGCAACCCGATCCCCAACAAGCTATCTGTATGAACGATTGAAAAGCTACAGAGCTATATTTGCATGGTGGAACATTGTTGTTTCGGAGGGCAGTTGGGGACCATGCCCCCGAACCCCCCAAGGTTACAGGTAATTCATATACTGTACCTTCCCCATTTTCGAGTACTCTACTCTATCCCTGCATGTTTTAGGTTTTGCTACAGTTACCGATTTTTTGTAAGTAAACCTGCACGCTTTAGTGTGGGGAACATTAAGACATAACCATATTAAATAAAGCACAGTGAAAATTCCTTGGCCCCTCTTGGAATTCAGTTCTCGACCTCCTCTGACTGAAAACCCCGGCTGCGTCTCTGACGATAGCTAATGAAAGGGCAAAAAAAATATCCTGCCGCGAAATATATTGGGGAAAAAATATCTTGCGCTGCATTTTACAGGAAAATATATATGTCTTGTTAATTCCCCTGGGCGGAAAAAAATCTTGCACAGCCTGAATATTCCAACCCCCCCCCTAAAAAATCAAATGGTCCGCCCCTTAAGCATACACATTTACTATAGGCTAATGACTCGGCAAAATTACCAAACAACAGTCGGCAAAAGATCACTCACACCTCCCCCCCACTCGAAGAGGGTTAGCGCCGCCCCTGCATGTGGGTTCATATGAGCCGGTGTCCCAGGAAATTTGGCCCCCCCGGGCCAAATTTCCTAAGATATTTGGACTCCCTTGGGGCCAAATTTCCTAGGATATTTGCCCCCTCCCTCCTGGGGGCCATATGGCCCCCTCCCTCTTGGGGGCCATATGGCCCCCTTTGGAAATTTGGCCCCCTCGAAAACATAGTTTTATACTTTATCGCTATAACTCAGCAGGGGCGTAACTTGGGTATCAGCATTTGGGGGGTGTCAACAATATTTGCCCAATAAAATCAAGTTTTGCCCGACAAAAAGGGGCGTGGACAGTAGTTCTACACAAGTATTTGCTAATGTATCAACCTCGTACTCAGGGCTTCTGCGCTTATTCTGAGAGCAGTAAGCGCAGAAGCCCTGGGTACGAGGTTGCTAATGTATATTATGAATATGCTAGTGACGTCGTGAGCTGGTGTAGATAAAAGGCGGACGGACGGCGGACCACGGACGGCGGATCGCGGACGGCGGAGCATTTTATAAACACACGATTACTACCGCAACTGATTATAAATTAAAGTATACCAGCCTTAGATCTGTGAAATAAATATGTTTTCACACGTTCGAATTTTTAGCAATGGAATTTTTTAATCAGCATTTAAATGATTCAGTACGTATTTATGACAGGCTATTTGCCGTCGTTCACGGAAAACTTTTGGAAATATTGTAAAAAGCGCCTCAGTTTTGGAGCTTCTGTTAGGCAGAATTAAATGACATTCACTTGCTGACATTTTCGTACTTTAAATAGTGCTGACTTGTTGTTTTATAATGAAAATAATCCTCGTTTTAATTATAAACCTAAGAGGTTCACATGTAGAAATGGCCGATTTGCATGCGACGGCTATTCTATATATGGATTTTAGAAATATTATGTATTAAGGGCGGATCATTTGATGGGGTAGATTTTCATTGAGCCCAATAATTTTTTAAACCTAATGCTGCTCGATATTTATCTGTCATTCAAGGCTCTTGAACGATTGTTTTATCTCGTAGGCTGACAAAAAGTTCCGCACACACAAAAGCAAATCCCATATCTTAAATCTTAATGATACAGCCATTATTTATTAACGTTGTCTTCTACAAAGCTGGTCAAAACCAAACGCGAAAAGTACGCTAAACATTAGCTCTTGGCCTAATTCTCTTCAGTATTGCAATTCATTTATGACGTACAGTTCAATGGAGAATTTTGACATTACGCAAAGTACTATTTAAAGCACGCGTAGCCGTAGGAGCACACGTTTTATATCAGTGATAAAACACGACTATACAAGTGCTTTAAATCATAAATGCAAAAAAACCGACTCATCTTATATGAGTTCATTGGCGAAGTAATTTTTAAAATAAACTCTGCCTGAGTAAACCGAGAAAATCAAAGCTAAAGTTTATGTAAATTAACATGATTTTTTATCACATATAAAGATACTACACGCTTATGATTTTTGTTTGTGTTTTTCTCCTGAATTATTAATGAGTTTTTTAACTAACTATAAATGTTGAGAAAAATTTCTAGAAATTTTGTTTTAGTGGAAGCTTCACGATTTCCAAGCCTAAAGATAAAGTAAACTATCATTTTTAGGGGGGGGCAAATTTCCGAAGGGGGGGCCATATTTCCTTGGAAATACGGCCGGGGGGGGGGCAAATTCCCTAGGAAATTGGCCGGGGGGGAATTTGGGGGGGGGGAATTTCCTGTGACACTGGCCGGGAACTCGCCTCGCTCAAGCGGGATCCCGGCAAACCGGGCTGGCCTAGCCTGCGTAAAAACAGCATACGATCCGACTCGCCAGATGCGAGTTAGCCCGGTTCACTGGGCCTGCACGGCTCATACTATCCATCACCGTTACTGGTAACTAATACGTCAACAAGGAACAAAGCCAGTGAATCTGTGAGTGAAAATCGAAAAATCGCGCCGCAACGATTTCCCCCCAACGATTCGGCCCCGTGCAACAACGAGTTTTGATCGAATCAGTGACAGTGTAGTGATTCTGAGAAGCCCAATCTTTCCAGATAAACTTTTTATAGTCCGATGGAATGCCCAGAATTACGTCAACTCTTGAACACTGAATACAAAGTCAAAGATGAACCCGATAAATATGGGAGTGAATAATTAGACTTGATATTTGGACGTTGGACGTCAGTTTGTAACAGCTTGTTTATAAATTTGAAAATATTTCTTTAGATATCTTGTCTGAATCTGTAGCAATTTTCTGAAGTTTCGAACTGATAAGGCAGACGTGCTGAAATAAATAAACCAAAAGTCAAAACAGCAAGCCAAGTTAGCGCTATAAATCTAGCTTTGAACAACCGGCTCCAGAATTGTAAGTGCTTGATGGATTGCAGTAATATTAATCCGTGAATTCATCTGTATTTTTACGTGTATTGTTCATATTGTGATTGCCTCAATTTTTCCTGAACGTGAAAGGATTTTTGTAATTTCTCGTGACTCGTGAAAATATTCAATATTTTACGTTACGGTGATTAGGTGATATCGTGTAACCAAAACGTATATCTGATACCTATGTGCATTGTGCAGGTATTAAAGGAAAGTAATCCAGGTACAAGCTAAGTAAGAAGAGACTGGGTTTATACTGATATACATACAGCTATTTCAATTAAGGTTGTCCCCCGAGCAAACTGAAAAGTCGAATACGAGCGCGAAAGGCTGCTGAGAATCGCTAATAAATTCGTTAATTTCTTAGCGATTCCCAGCAGCCTTTCGCGCCCGTATTCGACTTTTCCGCTTTGCTCGGGGACAACCTTAATTGAAATAGCTGTATATAAATATTCATATACAGCTATTTCAATTAAGGTTGTCCCCCGAGCAAAGCGGAAATGTCGAATACGAGCGCGAAAGGCTGCTGTACAACCTTAATTGAAATAGCTGTATACTACTATATTCCTGCACATCGCCACACTGCTATACAGTAAGAATGATCTTGGCTTTGTTTTGATTTGTAATAATTATTAAAATTATCATTTTCTACTCAGTATTTGTCATGTTTTCCTTGTCGATTCCCATATAATCATCATAAGTCATAATAGGCAATCGTCTAGACTCAAATTAACGTCAACCGGAAATATTGTTTCATAATCCACTTTTGGTCATATTTCAATACAAACCTGTTTGACCAAGTTATAATTTTGACTTGTCCGGGATTTTCCCAAAATCCTGCATGTAAATGTAATATTTATAGAATACAAATGAAACACTGCACTTCCTCGACAGGCTTTAATAATTAGTCGAATTTCGACTTGGAATTTAGTCAATTTAGATAGCTATTAAATCAGGCTAAAAAAGGTATATTGCTACTCTTTGCTTTTGGAAGAACTATAGTCAGTTATAAGCTTGGTTCACATATATACCTGCGACGTACCGGTGACGATGCCGGTGGTAGCTTAAAACGTGAATTATGTGAATATTTGTTCACCGATTGCCTCCAGTGCCACAGTTACATCGGCGGTAGGCCGGGAAAGTTGACTTGAGTTCAACTTTGCCGGTATTTCGGCGGCAAGTAGAGGCGTAATGATACAGTCGCAGGCATACCGCAGGCATATGTGAACCAGGCTTTACTTGAAATCGTCAAATCTATATACAGCTATTTCAATTAAGGTTGTCCCCCGAGCAAAGCGGAAAAGTCGAATACGAGCGCGAAAGGCTGCTGGGAATCGCTAATAAATGAATGAATTTATTAGCGATTCCCAGCAGCCTTTCGCAATTAAAATAGCTGTATGTACAGTAACTATTATAAAATTGGAATATATAAGAAATATATTTTAAAAATTTTCGAAAATTGACACCGGTTTTTGGGTTATCGTTCCATGTTTCGTATACCAATATAGGTTAGGAGTTAAGGCCCAGTCACACTACACAACGATAACGATACGATAAATTGTAAACACGCGATAATTGTCAAAAAAATTGTGTTAGTGTCCACACAACAACGAAAATGATAAAATTATCGTTGAACGATAACGATAACGATTTTAAAATCGCTCACCTGAGCGATTTTTTTTTCAGTCGGACGATAACGATAAATTTTTGACCAATCAGCGCGCGTATACAAGTTATCGTATCGTTATCGTTGTGTAGTGTGACCTGGGCTTTAGGCTTAGGATCAGGTTTAAGGTTAGGGTTAGGGTGTGTATATATGTATATGGAGGTATCCAGTTGACTTTGCAGTACACTATAATATCCATTACAGTCATTACATAACGTTTACTATAGGCCGGTTTACACGACAAGCGTTTTGGGCACGGCACCCCTGAAAATGGGCACCGTGCCAAAACCGCCACTTTGCTATTTACTCGTTTACACGACAACATTTTGTAAACACACTTTTATGATAGGCACCGTGCCCATCGGAAAACGGCACCTCTACTTTCCGTTTACGACGGTATATTTTAAAGAATAAATACGTCGGACAGAAATAGAATTATATATTTATATTTATTGGAACGAAGAAGAGTATTATATGAGCCGAAAATCGAGGGGAAAAAACAATTCAATACTAGAAAAGTAGCCAGCTCATATGGGCAAAAGTTATCCCGGTTAGCGAGAAAACTTTTCGACAAGTTTACAAACGAGATCTTGCCTTGGTATGAAAATAATATGAAAAGTTACACTGCGTTCATATGAGACAAAAAGTTTTCACGAGATCTCGCTTGTTGACAAACCAGATCTCGGTGACCGGGATAATGTTTTTCCCATATCACAACTTTACCGCTTAACGGGATAACTTTCTGTCGTATCAGCATCTTTTCAATTCAATTGATATTCAGTGCGTGCCCATCGGAAAACGGCACCCGGCTCTATTTTCCGTTTACGACGGTATATTTTAAAGAATAAATATGCCGGCCAGAAATAGAATTATATACTTATATTTATTGGAACGAAGAAGAATATTATATGAGCCGAAAATCGAGGGAAAAACCAATTCAATACTAGGAACGTACTTTAAGGGCCAGTTCATATGGGCAAAAGTTATCCTGGTTAGTGAAAAGACTTTTCGAAAAGTTTACAAGCGAGATCTCGCCTTGGTATGAAAATAATATGAAAAGTTAGTTTACACTGCGTTCATATAAGACTACAAAACGGTTTCCCGTGTACGTACCGAGATCTAGCTTGTCAAGTGATAATGTTTTTCCCATACGAACACAACTCTAGTTCCCGCTTGGCAGGATAGCTTTCTGTCGTGTCAGTAACTTTTCAATTCAATTGATATTCAGTGCTATGTCACAGCCGGAAACTTTACCCGGTAAGCGGAATAACGTTTCTCCATGCATGTGAACAGAACAAAAGTATATTTGGCTAGTCGAAAAGTTTTCTCGTTAACCGGGATAACCTTTGCCCATATGAACAGGCCCTTAAAGACGAAAGGAGTTGTTTTCTCGCATAGTGTTGTGCCATCTTGTATTCACCCGCCACGAATTTGAGAGGTATGGACGCATCGAACGACAGCTATTTGCTACGATCTAGTTACTGCTCTATTCAGAGACGAACAGTGGTATCAAAATTTCCGAGTCAACTAGAGCAACATTCACATTCTGTGTTAAATTTGTTTTTTAACTTTGTTTTTTTTTAATTTTTGGCAAGTTGTAGTTTTTCGCCGCTTGCTGCCATGTTGGAAAGAGGACAATTTGTTTTGCGCATGCTCGATGTCGAACACATTTTTTATTTTTTTCGAAATTTAGGCACGGCACCCCTTGCTAGACGTGCCGAGACTACCTCGTGAGAAAGTCTCGGCACGTTTAAATTTTGCGGCACCGGTGCCGATTTTTGTCACGTTTACACGCCAAAAGGCAGAGGTGCCGTGCCTAAAATTTTGGGCACGGGTGCCCATTTTTAGGGGTGCCGTGCCCAAAACACTGGTCGTGTAAACCGGCCTTATATTGATGCGCGAAACATGGAACGATTACCGGTTTTGGTATCTATGCGAAGCATGGGGAAAAAACCAACCCAGTCGTATTGTAATGGTAGGAGACTTAACGTTCCACCTGTTAGTGGTCGAGTGATGAAAACGTTATTGTATTAAGTGGCGGATCCGCTGAGAATGGAACTTTTTGCGAAATGGTAGACAACTTCCTTCAACATATATAGCTGTATGGCGACAAACTGGACTTACAACTGTTACGTAATTCCCCTGAAAGCATCGGTGACGCTTCCCTATATCAATAGACTATCAATATCATCCAGAGTTTTGTGGTTTCCTGACAGATCACTACATCGTGGAAATTGAAGTTGAACTCAGGTTCAAACAAGCCAAACCTGTTAAGCGCCATGTTTTCGACGATAAAAATGGAAATTTTTGACGAGTTGCGCTATTTTCTGACCCAATCAATCTAATCCAATCAATGTTACCCACACAAATGTGGTCAAACCCCTCTTGAACATTTTTTTAATTTTCAAGGAGATTAATGTGAAAATATCATTTTCTGAAAGGGTCAGGTGAAAGAAAAAAAGACCAAAAAATGTTCACAAAGTTGTTAATTACACTATTATCCAATATGGTGGCCGTTAAACCATAATTGCTTATAGCGTCGCAAACATCATATCTCAAGAACCAGTCATCAGTGACAATCAGTATACAAATAATGAATGTTTATGAGTGCAAAGGTAAGAATATTTTCATGAGGTGAAAGATGGAATATTCCATTCAACGAGGCGACAGCGACATCTTTCACCGAATGAAAATATTCTTACCATTGCACGAATAAAAACATTCATTATTTGTTTTATATAATACCAAAACAGACTAATATTAAAAGGTTTACTGTTGGGCCCGCCATTTTGGCGAGTCGTATTTGCATTAAATCCCATTTACTGAGTTTCGAATATCGGGTTAAAACTAGTAAACTGCGATCACCATACGAGAATACAATACAATACAATACAATACAATACAATACAATACAATACAATACAATACAATACAATACAATACAATACAATACAATACAATACAATACAATACAATACAATACAATACAATACAATAAAATAAAATACAATGTACTGTTAATAACGTACCCATGAAATATTAAAAATAAGATCAAACAGACATTCTCTGCAAAATCATAGGGAGATCAACATAGTCATCTTCGTTATTCATAATTTCGATTAGTAAAGTGTGAATCTTACTAGTGAAATCCTTTTTTTTAAGATCGCGGAGATGTTCAGGGACAGAATTCCATACTTTAGCACCAACTCTAGAGAAAGCATTATGCTGTTGATTTGTACGAGAAGATTTTATCTGATAATTACCAGCAGTAGAGGATTTGGTATTATAGGAATGAACAGTAGCAACTTGAGTAAAGAGATCCATTACATTTCTAGGTGCTGAATTATGACTAATGTCGTACATTAATTTTGAAACTGTTTCAACATATAACATGTTAATAGGCAAGTTATTTGTATTTTTAAAGAAAGGAACGGCATGATCGCGACTATTAGCGAAATGCATTAACCGTAGAGCACGCTTTTGAAGTACCAAGAGTTTTTTTAAATTAGTTTGAGAAGCATTTCCTCAAACAGTAATAGCGTAGGATAGATAGGGGGAAATAATCAAATAAGTGATCGATAGATACTTGTAAGTACCTGAAGAGGAACAAAATGTCGGAGTTTGGCGATGATTCCGATTGTTTTGCTTACTTTGCATGCTACATAATCTATATGTTGTTTCCAAGTTAAATGTTCATCTAGTAAAAGTCCCAAATATTTAATGTATTCCTTGCGTTCAAGAGAAATATATTTCTTGTCTTTCCAGTCAAATATTCTTATATTTACTTGGTAGTTTAGATTTCTTTGATAAGGATGAAAAATAATAAAGTTTGATTTTTTAGTATTCATTGTTAATTTATTTGCATTTAACCATCTGTAAACTTTTTCTAGTTCTGTGTTAACAATGCTTTCAAGGGTTTTAGGATTCTTGTTTGAATATAATAAGTTGGAATCATCAGCAAACAAATGGAAACTAAATTTGTCAGAAGAGTAATGAATATCGTTTATATAAATAAGAAAAAGTAGTGGACCAAGTACTGATCCTTGTGGTACACCACAAATTGTTCTTTCCTTGTTCGAAATATTGTTATCAATTTCCGTAGTTTGAATTCGATTTGTTAAATATGATGAAAACCAATCATAGATTATACCTCTGAATCCATAACATTGAAGTTTACGTAATAAAATTGTATGATCTATAGTATCAAACGCTTTTTGTAGATCAATAATAATACCACACGTAAATTTTTTATTGTCTATATTTTCCTGTATCCTATTAACTATATCAAGAATTGCATGTTGCGTTGAATGTTGCCGTCTAAAACCATATTGTGAGTGATATAGAATATTTTTATCTTGGATGAAACTCATAAAGCGTTTGTACATAACTTTTTCAAAAATTCTATTTAAGTTTGATAAAAGTGATATAGGCCTATAATTGCCTTTTTCCGTTTCATCACCAGATTTGAAAATAGGAATTACTTTGGCATGTTTTAAAATAGAAGGATAAACTCCATTTTCAATTGATATGTTTAAAATATCAGAAAAAGGTTTACTTATCACGTTACTTGAACATTTTAAAATTTTTGTAGGACACGAGTATAAACCATAGGCTTTCTTGTTTTGTATAGACAGTATTTCGGACTCTATTTCTGACGGCGTAATTGGTGTGCAGAAGAAAGACTGTTGAATTTGAATATTTTTTATGTAATCAGAAAAATGACTTTCGGATTGTGTCGTATCTGTTCCTAACTTATGTCCTATCGACGCGAAATATTTGTTTAACAAATTTGGGAGTACTGATGGATCTCGAATAATTTGACCAGTTTCAGTATCTTTTAAACCAGATATTTTACAAGATTTTCTTTTTTTCCTGTCAATTAAATTATTAATACCATCCCAAGTGTTTTTCATATTATTTAGATTAATTTCGAAATATTCATAATAATATTTCTTTTTACTTACTCGAATAAGAGTTGATATTCTATTGCGATAATATTTATATTTCTCATGCTCTCCTTGAGTGAGTAATCTATTTTTTTCTTTGATTGATCTTTTTATCCCTGTGGTAATCCATGGTTTCGAAAAGTTCTTCATATCACGTTTCGTAACATTTTTACGAGGTACGTGTTTGTTTGCTAATTTATTTAATTTGTTGTAAAATGATGAAAACAATTTATCAACATTTCTACGGTGCTTTTCAATAACTATGTTCCATCTGATTTGCCTCACCTCATTTATGAATTTATTTTCTGAAAATCGCGAAAAATCCCGCATTTTCCGGTTTCTCGGCAATTTTGGTTTAACTTTAAGTGACTGAATAACACAAAATTGTGAAAAATGATCACTTATATCGGATATGATATTGCCAATATAAATTTTCTGGTCGTATGTATTTACCAGTATATTGTCAATAAAAGTAGCAGAATTATTATATATTCTAGTTGGTTTATCAATTGATGGTAACAAAGAATAACTTTGACAAGAAAGAAGAAAGTGTTCAGCATAGCTACAACTATTTGATTTTAGAAGATCCACGTTGAAATCCCCCATGATGCACAGAGACTTGCCTGTTGAAGTAAATTTTTCAAGCATTTCATCAAGATATGCCATAAAACAATTAGGATTATTGTGTTGGCGATAGATAACTCCGCAGATTATGTTTTTCTTATCATTGTTGATTATTTCAATCCATAAGGCCTGAAACGCATCATTTGAGCATTTCTCTAGCACTATGTACTCTAACGTATTATCAATATAGAAGAAGCACTGTTGACGGATGCGATTTATCGAAAACACAAAGAGTGCAATGGAAATGGAATAAAATCATAGAAATAATAGACATAGAATGCGTGCTCCTATCTCTTCTCAGTAAAAATTTTGTCTCCACAAAATGGCGGATTTATAAGGGCATTTCAGCTAGTCCCAGACTCCTGCGGCAAGGAAATTCGCGCGGTTGCAGGGGCCAGGGAGTGCAAATTGGGTTTTTTTCAACAAAGTTCGCAAAAACAATTATATCGAGACTTGAAATGAAAAAAAAAGCTTTTTTAAAGGAGAAAAACCCATTCCCGTGGGTTTTTTTACGAAAAGCAATAGTTCTGAACAGAATATAATTATATACAGAAATCTGAAAATTTGAAAATACATTTTCAACGTTGTGCAAGCCAAAACAAAACACGAAAAATCAAGACAAACTCAAAGTCAATAGGGGAGTGGTCACTATTTATGGGGAGGGGGGGGGTTGGTAAATGCATGGGGGGGGGGCAAACAAAGTTTTACCCTTATAAATAAGGGGTCAAAAAAGTTTTAACCTAAAGAAGGGGGGGTCAAAAAGTTTTTGAACTTAAATACCATGACTAGAGCATAGACTCACAAATCATAATGGCAAAGAGGTAAAGAAGACTCTGAAAATGCCATTTCCAACGATCTAGAAACTCAAAATTTCCCTGCTCGGCGCCAACCATGGTAGCGCCTCGTGGGAGTTGGGTCCACAACAGCTTTATTAGGAACTAAATATATTACATTAATAACGTACAAGTACAACAAACATGCAGTTCCTAAACGGGAAAATAGCGAACGGGCCTTAATAGCCCATGCGAGGCTACCTCCCGATTTAACTTCAGTCGACATTTACAAATTTACATAAATTTAAAATTTAAAATCGTTGAAAGCACGTTTACACGCATTCACGCCAGAGTGATATAGGACCTATGTTAAAATAATTATTAATAAGCCAGATAAAACGTCATTTGGTGACAACAATCATAAAAACCCGACCAGTCGTAACGCGTAAATGTGCTTTTTTTTTGTAAACGTGCTTTTTTTGTTGGGTACTTAGATAAACATACCATACAAGAAGCCCTTAACTGATCAGATTCGGTCTATCAAAGCACAATGTAACGCTGTATATCCAAAAATCTGTTTCAGAAAATGCTCACATGTCAGTCCTAGGGGTGGAAAAATACAAAAAATTTTTCTGGGGGAGAATGCCCCCAGACCCCCCTACTAGTACCGTAGTACGTACGATACCACACCAAACTTTTTTGTCACCAACAACATCTGTCATCTCTCCACACTCAGTATAGTATGGTCCTTTTTGTAGATGCCCACCCCCAGACAAGTTCGTAAAAAAAGCCCTGTGTTCAAATCATTTCACTGTATGAAGAAGACAGGCCATGGGTTAGGGTTATGGTAGGACAAATGTTGCATTGCAAAGTAGTACATAATATATATTTTTAATCACATATGGTTGAATCATATTCACCAGGGTAAAACATCATGAGCTAGATTAAACAGATTGTTTCATTGCTGTTAATTTTTTAATCCACACTGGGGGCGGGGGGGGGGGAAGAAACTTTTCTACTTTTATGAGGGGGGGGCAAAAAAAGTTTGCTTTCAGTCTGGAGGGGGGTCAAAAAAGTTTTCAATCCTTATTTTCCCCATTTACCCCCCCCCCCCCCTCCCCATAAATAATGACCACTACATACAACTATATAACTAAATAATGACTACAAACATACCTAGGTATGTTTTAAAAAATATATTTCAACCGTTTTATAATATAAATGGAGTTCAATAATCTTTTTAAACTTACACAACTACTTTTTATTTTTTTCTATACATTGCTTGAGCTTGATGCAACGCTTTTCAAACCATATGTTTTCGACGATTTATATTTAATAGGCGATTTACACTTTATCGACAACTAAATATTTTTGTTTCAAAAACATGAAAACACTTCGTTTAGCCAGATTGAAGAAAAACAAAACCCGACGGACTGAACTATCATTTCGTAATTTCATAAAATATTAGCAAAACAGATACGTTCAGAGCATGCATGCAAAAATGTTTTATGAGTAAATTATATTTTATACGTGAAACTACTTTGTTTTTACAAGGCTGCATGATTTATTGATTTTCACTGTTTATGTAACGGCACATTTGCTTTGAGCCTTTAAAGAACTTAATATTTCAAATTATATCCCCAAACTACAAATACACAACGCTTTGACGATGAAAACTTTATAGTTTTAGCTTTGTCCTACTCAAATTCAGCATGGCGGATTTATAAGGGCCTTTTTGTTTTCAGTTTGGACACCGGTCACGTGACCAAGCACGCATTCTAGGTCTAATATTTATATGAATAAAACGTATAGTACAATTGCACTCTTGGGAAATGGAACGTATTCTATTGCACTCTTAAAATGGAATTTTCTATTCAATTTCACGTGACCATAATATAAAACAGCCAATTAAACGATCAGAATTCAATAAGGTATTATATAAAATCTAATGTATGAATAATATATTTTTAAAAAGCTTAGAACCTGATCTAGTGCCTGACATTCTTCCATTTTCTTCAAAATTCTTTTAAAAACATTTAGAGCTAA